TCAGCGCCAGCGCCAGCACGCTTTGCGCTTACAACTGCGTCGTTCGCGTCTTCCAGCTCTTCGATGAGCGCGCTGACAACGGCCTCGGTCTCGACCGCGACACCGCCGCGAGCGTGCAGGACGTCGTATGTCCGCTGCAGGCGAGGAAGCAGGTCATCTTGCAGGCGACTTAGTGCCTTCGCACGCGTCAACTCAAGGACCTAGCGGTCAATAATCTGGTGGCGGACGTACAACATCCAGCCCCCGTTCTTGACTCTCTAGCAGGAGCAGTCGGTCCAGATGGCCGGCACGTTCCAGCTCGGCCTTCACGTTCGGGACCAACTGCTCAGTTGCGCCCGCCCCCGAACTCCTCTCGGGAACATCCTGGAGAATCATGGTCAACTCTTCGCAATCGAGCTTCCCGCCTTGAGAGCACTCCTCGACCTGGCGGGCCACGCGCTCTAGCTCCTCCAGGTACGCAGCAGCGATCAGCCTTTGCGCGCCCGCGCCGGCGGCGGCTGCACTCAAGCACGCGTGCACTGCCCCGGCGTCAGTTTGCAGCTGCGTTAGATCGGGCAGGGAGGCGTATCCGGCGTCGAGGGCACGGTAGAGACGGGCTATGGTGTCGCTAAGGGATGTGCGCGCGCGATCAATTGAGGCAACGTGGGCTTTGAGTGTGGAGAGCTTGTCGTCTGAGACACTGGAGGTAAGAGGGGGTGCAGGAACGATTCAATTTAACAGAGACGCACCTTGCTCCCGGATGAATTGCAGGAGGCCCTGGGCTTGCTGAGTGCATCTTCCGATGACGCTGTCTACCTAGGATGGCGGATGGTGAGTACATGCGCTGCAAAACAGAAGTTCAAGGGTTCGGTGTGAATACCTCGACTGACAGCTCCGTCAGACGTTCTTGTTGTGTTTGAGCAGCTCGGTCGGACTCTTCCATGCTCTTTCTGACGACTGACTTGGCGCGCTTTGAGTCCTTTGCTGCAGTCCTACGGTAAGTCTTGATTAGCGACGGTGAATGAATGATGTCAGGCCTCTCACTTCGCCATGTTCGAGCGATGCTGCAGACGCGCGGCGCGAGCCTCTAGAATCTCCGCCTCGCGCTCCAGCGCCTCCGCCCGAGCTCTGCAGGCTGTTGTCAGTCAAGGCTTTTCATATCGTGCAAACAAGTACTCGCTTCAGGGTGGATGGTAGTGCATATATTGTTGGAGATGTCGCATGACTTGATAACGGCTCATCGTGTCCACTGGCCTGACGCAAACGACCCAACCTACCCTCCCGACGAAAGACTGTGTAAGCCAAAGGCGGTATTAAATCGTTTACAACAGCTCACATATCCACTTCTTCTTGATATAACCCAACTGGACTGAGTGCATTCTCGTACACCTCGTCGTGCAGATCTCTATTGTGGCCGCAGCGTTTGGCCACCAATACTGGAACAGCTGTTCCAGCATCGGAAGCCTGGCTGGCTACCCATTGCAGTATTTTATTTCCAGCAGGAATATCGGCCGCCCATTGCAGGTCCTCATCAGGGCACCGTGGCCCACCCAGATGGGAGATGAGGTGGGTCACATCCGCTATAGTAGTGGCGCTACTAGTGGTCATACAGCCTGATCGCAGCAAACAATAAGTGTCTAGCCTGTGGTTAGAGGGACCTCAGTATATCCAACCTTTTCAATGGGCAATAGTGTCTGTCTGAAACCTCCCAGTGTTGGAGGCTGGTAGTCCGAGAGCAAGTGTGGTAGGTCCGTTAGCGCCCGTCAAGTTGCGTGCCAAGTTCATCGCCACCACAGTATGAACCTTGTTCACGACCACCATTTTGTACGAGTAGCCATTCCACACTCAATGCACAATGCATACACAAGCGTGATGTTTGGCATAAGTTGGCCAGCTGTGGCCCACTCTGCCGAAAACTTCGATCAGTGACTGTAGTGGCACATGATACCATGCCCGACGGTCCACAGTAAGTAAATCATCAATTGCTCACAACCACTCATACATTGACTGCAACTATTGCAGTCTCAGATATCTTTGGTGCTGTAGCATATCGCACCGCATATATGCCGGCCGTCGAAAGTGGACGCACAACATCGTGCCGGGCTGATTCCCAAAATGTCACAACGGCTCGCTTTACGACACCCACCCCATATTGACAGTACACAAGTGCGCCCGCGGCCTGCACTACGATGGCTTCCGGAGACGGATAGTCCCCTTGAAACGGCCCGCATCGCTGATCATGCCAAAGTGAGGCTGTCTTGTCCTACAAATGCTGTGTTGATCGATCCGTCGGTGGCACTCACATTGCCCGACCTATGCCCGCCCTCCCCCCACTAAACCACATAGCATGCACAGGTCAATGATGCGCCGTCCAAAACGAGCTTCAGCGTGGGGCATTGGACCTCGAGAATCCGACAAGCAGTGCATGCGTTGAGCCCTCTGCTCACGGAGCGCCCATCGCAATCACTGATTCGTCGTCCTCGCCCGCACGTATCCCCGGATGGAACGCGCACCAGGAGGCACCGAGGCGACCCCATGTACACGATGTCAATCGCTTCGTGGGGGCCCGACGTTCACAAGCCCACTAGGGCTAATGGATGTCTATCTCCGGCGACCGGTGAAGATCTCCACTGGCAGCGGCTGTGGGGGACGCGTAGACTTTCATGTATTGAGGGTGGATTGGTGGTTCCATCCACCCTCATCCCCCAACCACCATCGTCATGTACGACCCTGAGAGCGAAGCGTACGTACAAGATGTCCACACGATGTGAGTCGTCATTCTACTGGCCCGGGCTACCCCTGGCGTACATGCACGCAGCCGGACGCTGACGAATGCACTGCAAAAGCATCAACCAGACGTATTACACACTCGCGGCGTTCGGTGGGTACTCACTCGCCCGTTCAAGCTCGTGCCCCGGCATGCAATTCGTCTGTGCGGACGAAAATCCTACAAATGTCTGACATTTGCACACCGCGCTGCTCGCGTTTGAATATGTGATCACCTTCGATCGGGAGGTGCGCCTCGTCTGGGGCCGCAAGGCGACCGGGGCGACCGTTCTGTTCGTCCTCAACAGATACTGGCTCTTCTTCCAGTACGTCACACAGGTCATCACGACCTACCCGATGTCGAGTTTGGTGAGCATTATGTCATGCGTTCTTGAATTCGCTACGGCATCTGACCGAGATACTGCACGGCAGGGGTGAGCAGTCACACGAGCGCGTGCGCTCAGCGAAAACTTGACTTCAAGCGGTATCCAGGTGCAATGTAGTGGGCTATATGGTCCTCGTGGGTAACGGGGGGCCTCCGTTCATCTTGGCTGGTACTTTGAGTCATTAGGCCCACTCGCAAATGTATCGTTAACGCCTTATCAAGCCTTTTCTACCCTTCGCGGGTACGCTTTGAGCGGCCGCAAGTGGTGGGTGGGCGTGCTCATAGTCATCTTCTACATACCAGACATCGTCCTGGCCTGCGTACGTTGCCTGAGTTGTCTCCGAGTCAATCTCTGACTCGTCTGGCACAGCTGTACTTTGCAAAACTCACGCCGCAGGTGCTGCCCCCTCCCTTTAACTGCATACTCGCAAGTGGGACACCAGAAATCACCTGGGTACAGTGAGTAGGTTCATCGCATCGTAGTCTTATGCATACGTACTCACTGACGTGCCCAGTTGTGCGTGAATAACCAAGTGCCTTTAATCTGGGATGAGTGTCGCTAACTCCAAGTATTGTACCCCCAACAGATACAATCGCAGCTCGCCTCGGTCTGGTCGTAGGCGACCTGATCGTGCTCGTCATCACTTGGAAGAGTACGTTCGGCATCATGAAGACCGCAAACAGCGCGAGAATTGGGGCGCGTATGTCGCTCACTAACGCTATCCTGAAAAACGGTACGTTGATTACGCCTGCCGCCTCTTGAGCATCGATTGATCGAATAGGTTCCAGGAACCCTATACTTTGGGCGAGTGCAATCAAAGAGCCAAGTGGACGAGTGGAAGCTCACTGCTCACTACCTCATAGAATCCTACTGATTCTCAACGTGCTGAACATCATTGTCAACGCTGTACCGGTGGGTACCTTCGTCCACATTTTACCAAACAATGCTCAACAGCCAATGCCCAGAACGACAGCGCTGTCTCCGCCTTTCAATACCCGTGAGTTATCGATACTCGCCACAAACCACTTTTGCGCTGACCGCTGACTGTATACGTGGACAGCATCACAAGCATTCTCGTCTCGCGCTTCCTGCTCAACCTGCGAGACACCTTCGGCGACAACGATGCAGACACGCGCCCATCCTTCGTCCGCTCGCGACACCGCGGGACCACTACTACCATACAGTTCGCGGCCTTCGTCGACCCCATGGGCGCGAACCTCGACCATGGGCTCTCGCTCTCCGATTTGGACAGCGGGACGCGGTGGTCAAGTGGGGACGACAATGACATGGAAAGCACGGTCGGGAACGAACTCGCCAGCATGGTTACAACCGTTATACGTACGCCGAGCTACGGTGCCAGGAATGTAGAGAAAGACAAGGGCAAGGGAATCGTTCCACCCTCGTTGTGTTCTGTTGACGTGGACGTGCAGGAGGTAGGACGCGACGCGGTGCCATGCGTGTTTTTCGCCCTTCTTGTGTCGCGTTGAGTACTAACATTGCGTTGTAGGCATGTAACTGTAACTCACAGGTCTGTCAATGACGCACATTATCGACAGGCATGGTGAACCTCAAGAACCTAACTACGCTTGAGGAAACCAGAGAAGACGAGGAGACGATGCGACTTGTGTATATTGTGCCAGTAGAGACTGTATCACTAGGCATGAATGTCTACTCTCATGGTTGCGAAGTGTATTTGATAACATGCAGTCATTAGCATATGCCCTCGTATGCCTCGGTGTACACAACCCCGTAGTGGGAACTCTAATGAGACAACCGCGTTCAACTTCAGAGGTTCTGTGGTATTATCTCACTGTGACCCTCTAACATCCCTCTGATGAATGTAGCTAACACAATACTTTCTCTTACACTGGGCATGTGGTGTAGTTGGTTATCACGCTCGCTTAGCATTTCTATAGCTTGCGAGAGGGGTCCGGTTCAATCCCGGACATGTCCATTTTGGGGTCATGCGTCGGGAATTCCCTTCTTTGGCAATGAGGCGGCTGGTTCTGGCGCTGTTCCACACTTTCAATCAACCATCGCCTGGGCCGCGCTCGACGGTCTATTTTCGCTCGGGCGTGTCGCCAAGCCTGCAAGCGCTACGCGCGCTCTTTTGTCGACGCTGGCGGTCTGATATCCTCGGCACACCAAGAAGTCGCGGATGAGCACGAAACAATTCATGTCTTCGGGCCGTTGAAGTGAAGTTCAATCCGGACAACGCTGACCGACCTCCATCCTGTTCACAGGTCGAGCTGCATTCCTCGCACTACCGTGGCGCACCCTTTCGCTCTTGAAGGGCGCATCAGGCACGCTACGGGATCTGTTCCAGCAGCGGTTGCTACCCCAACCGCAGCCGCGCGCCGCCGGCAAGCCCGCTCGTCGGGTATCGCGCCTTCATTTTGCAGGCGTTTTCTGGTGGCCAACACGTACACGCCCCCGCTCGCCTGCATCAATTTAGCCGGTCTGGATTGTTGTCAGCAACCCGACTCTCAGTCTCAGTCGCCGCAGTCTCTCCCCTCTGATCCTCAGCACCGAGCTCGACCGGCGACTTCCTCGCATAGCGCAGGCCTTCACAGCAGGTCTTGCGACTCCTCCGCTCCTTTCTTCACCCTCGTCGCTCCTTATCCGCCCAACTAGGCCCGTGTAACGCGCACCCTCGCGTCTTCGTCTTCGTCGTCGTCGCGCCTCGTCTCTGAGCAGCTAAACCTTTGCGTGCTGCTCCGAGTCTCTATTCTTGTTGGCCTTCAACGCCGTCTTGACCGCCTACATCTCTCATGGCGGCTTCAGTCCGCCGCACCAGCTTTCCTCTACCTTCCCTACTTACGGCGCTGTCATGCCTGCTCATCTTTTTCGCGCTGGTCAGTGATGCTGCCTGTCGACCCACAGCGCCCGTCTCGCCCGCAGCAGTCGACTTTCCGTCCGTGCAGCTTTTGAAGCGCCTTACCCCGGTCGTCCAGTCCTCCGCGGACGGGACGAACGTCACAGTCGTGAACCCAGCCACAAACGATGTCATCCCGCAAGGTTCTGCCACGGATGGTGGCGGAAAGGACTTCTCTGTTCCCGCTATCATCTGGATTGCGTTCGTCTTTGCGGTCGGCGCGCCGCTCGCGCTCGCAGGCATTCGACTATGGCGCATTACCACTGGCGCTGGGGTCGGGCTCGCCGCCGCGGTCTGTAGTACGTCCTCTCTTGATTGTCGTACCGCCAGTTTGTCGCACGCGCACACGCTGACCATTGCGTACGGGCAGTCTGGACGGCCTTCATCAACACCATTTCTGCAGATAGCCTGCCCGACCTCGTCCTGACGATCATTGTGCTCGTCGCATTCGCGATCGGCTTCTTCCTGGGCATGGTTGGCTTCGGACGCATGGCGGGCGTGATCCTGCTCGGCGTGCTCAGCGGGTTCTCCATTGGCCTCCGGATCGTCCTGCTCCGGCCTGGGCTGCTCATCCCGCGCTACATCGCGAACTGGTTACTGCTCGTCGTGTTCATGATCATCGGCCTCGCCCTGATCTTCTTCCGGCAACGTATGGGGCTTGTGAGTCCAGCCCGACGCGTGTGCTCGTGTGGTCAGTAATGCTGACGGCTATGCGTGCTCGGCGGACGCGTAGGTGACAGCGTGCTCCTCGGTCGGGTCGTTCCTCGTCGCGCTCGGCATCGACTTGATCATGAACAAGCAGAGCGGGATGAGCTTCGGCCTACGCTTCTTCATGGACAGGAATAACTCGCATTTCCTGGTGCGTGCTTGACCCATATATCCTGATACCGTGCCTGCACATTTCTCACGACACGCGCCCACAGGAACTCACCCACAAGGGCTATAACCCGTCCGTTGTGACGCAAATCCTGCTTGGAGTTTCGCTTGGCGCAATGTAAGCGTCTCCCTGTCTTTCAGCGCTGAGGAACGACTCATGTCCGCATCCTGACTGCCTGCAGCCCAATCCTGGCCACCGCGCAGCATTTCATCTTCCGCGCGCCCTTCCGGCCGACGTGGACCGAGTCGACCACCGCGTCGACCACCGCGTCGATCGTCGGCTCGGAGGAGGCCGTCGCGCTCAATCCGGAAAAGCACTCGGAGGAGGCGCTGAGCCCCGCCTCGGATGAGTCCGAGGCGCACACCGTCGGATCCACCGCGGTAAAGTCGGAACAGTCGGACAAGTCCAAGAGCAGGCTGCTCGGCGCGCGCTTCAGTAGTCGCTTCAGCCGCTCGCAGTCATAGTTCGCCCCGCTCGCCCGCCCGTCTCCGTGCGAGCGCGGGCTTGCGTGAGCGTCCTCCTGCCTGAGTGCGCCGCGTTTCTTGATTCTTTTGTGGCGTGCTCGGGCAGGGGCCAGCGCCCCTCTTGTACCATCGCAACACCGCACGTTGTGCGGTTTCGCCATGGCCTCGCATCCCCCCCCTTCCCCCACGCCCCTACCTTAGTATACTTCCTGGCCGGCGCGCGCCACCGAGTGGGCGCACGTCAAGGCCACTAGCATTCTCGGACTGGATTTTGTTTCTTGCCTACGCACGCGCGCGTCTGCGTGCGCACGTATCCACCTACATACGCATTTTGCCATAGACGACGGAACGGAACGGACGACGGACGATCATCTGCGCGCGTGTCCCTTTCCTTCCCGCCCCGCTCTCCCTCGCCCCGTTTCTGCCCCGTCTGTGGTGGTGTTCATGATGAATCATGATGATGACAGGGCCCAGTGAGGGGAGGGGAGAGGCGGGAGAGACAGACGGATTACAGTAGTAGCTCAGTAGATGCAGCGTAGTTTTTCCCTTGCATCCGCGCACGTGTATTCATACGCACAGTACCTAGCTGCCGCATCGCATCGCAAGTAGTACGCAAAGTACAGAGTACTCCTCGCACTCGGCCCAGAAAGTGGTTTCGCACAGTAGACGGTTGTTATGTCGGCATGCCGCTCACCGTTGATATTGACACGCCGCGCGGCGTAGCCGTCCTCGCTTCTTTCGGACATACATAGTATGTATTACTAGTCTCTAGGGACTTTTGGATGGACAGAATTGGACACCGGTGAGATCGTAGCGGTAGTCTCGTGTCTTCGGCGCAGGTATGTAAGGTTGTGTGCATGTCAGTTGAAGGCAAGTATGCGGCCCTACGGGGTCTTGTACCGCCTGTGAGCTCGTAGTGCATCTCAACGAGTTTGACTGAGCCCAAGTGATCATTGTCAGCCCTGTCTTTGGGCAGAGTCCTAGTGCTTATCAGCCAACTTGATGACAAGATGTGCAAGTGCTCCTCATTGACAATTCAAGCTAGACCATGCTCACTTCGAAGGTATCAGTACCGAGAACTTCTGAGCACCAGCGGCACTTGAGCGGCACCGCCAGTGGCGGACTCATAGTGAAGACCATGCTCAGGACGAGACCAAGGCGTTTTGCCACCGCCGCCAGTGCCATTGATCGCGATAAACAAGTTGATGTTGTCTCAGCTGTTGTGCCGCTGATTGACAAGGCTTTCGAGAGGTTTAGGACCGATGCATAGATTTTCGCGTTTGCAGGCAATTACGAAGAGTTATGTATATGTCATGGTAGTACGCATGTCATATTGAGTTGTGCTCCGAAACGAAGCTCAAAGACTCTTGAGCGCCTAGTTTGCATCTCCCGCGACTCTTGAAGCTTGGGATTACAAGGTTCCCCTGCAGGAGCAGTACCGTGCTACGCCTGTCTCACAGACTCCGGTAAGCACAAGGCTTTAACGTTTCTACTGGCAGCACGCTGCGGGAGAACCACCGAAGATGCGCAGTGGCTGGGGCGCAGTTGCGGGGAAGCAAGCATAACCGCACGCGATCGCCAACCTTGGGGGAACCGGCCAGGGCGACCGGTCTGTTGCAGATCATTGTCCCTGGAGGGGCTCTTGACGATCTCTATGCGCAGAGTGTCCGACCAGAGGCGAGCTTCTGGTCGCGCGCGTCAGCGACGCGCGTTTCATACATTATTGGCCATAGGCTCGCGAAGACCCGCACCAGTTCGAGACATCCGTCTGTCGATGTGCCTCGCAGCATATGCGCTCTTCATGACGTATGTCACAAAGCACGCGTTGACCGGACGGTACATTGCCATTTGCACCCGCGCACGTCCGAGGGCGGGGAGCGTTCGCGTGTCCGGACCTTGCTGCGCGACGGTCATTAGACCGTGGCGGCATGGATTGTATGGGCGTTGCCTGTAGACCAGGACAAAAACAGAATGCGTTGCATTCTACCAACAGCGTTGAGAATCGTCCATCTGGCACAGCTCTCCACTCCGCCAATGCCCGACGATGTATGAGACATATGCCGTGCAGACATTGTTGGGGGGTCGCAGAGGCCCGCTCGCGTCGACGTCCGCAACTAAAAATAATGGGAGCGGGGAACAGTCTGGACACAGGAAGAAGGATCACGGTCGTGTTCTGGTGCTCGTGCCCGCGCCATCTTGATAGATTCGGGCATGATAGAACCTGGGTAGAGCGGGTGAGAATACAATCTCGAGATGCGGGAGCCAATCGGAGCAGTATCGCTAAGCCGGCGGGGAAAGTAGCTCTCACAGCCGCACTACCATCGATCTCAGGCTCATGTCCGTCGAAAGGGTCTGGTAAGATGTCCGAGAAGAGAAGAGAATGCGGGGGACGTACACTGTGGGCGGCAGATCTGCCCAGTTCGGTCTTTGAACCTTGCTCGATGAACGAAGCCGAGTTGGCGGGGTATTTCGTGCGGTAAATCAGCCTGCGGTTTATGGACCGCATGCGCTGACTTATAAGCATGGACGGACAGCTTGCGCGGGTTCACGAGGAAATGAGGGTTGTCGAGCGCATTGGGCATGCGGTGACCATAGACGACCATAGGCGCCGGAAGCAAGAAGGTTTTGATGTGATGAGGAGGGTTGTATTATTCCATTTCCAGATAAGGATATAGCTTTACATCAGCGAGGGGTTAGTTTCGAATATTGTGCATGAACCGCTCGTCGAGCACAAACGC